ACACAGAGCGACAAAAACTGATACTGAAGCTTGCGGCGCTGATCAATCCTCCATTCCCAGAGAGCAAACGAACGAAAGGAGCCAGCATAACGACAAATCGCACTTCCTTCCGTGGATCCCGGCCCTTGCCATGTGTGCGGTGAATGGTTCACAGCTGCAGTAACATGCCAATTTCTCCGGACAAAAATGGACGGGCAGGGGCAGGAGGGCAGCGACGTTTGGGTGCCGTTTTCATACTTTCCGCGCAGCCGCGTGGCCACACGCCTTACCACACAGGGTACAGCATCGTTGTGCGAAACCCATCGGGGTGGGGGGGGGTCGTACTTGGCCGCTGGGGAGGGGGGGTCGTAATCTCAAGGGTCAGTCAGCACCGGACAACGCTATGACGTTTCAGTTGATAGAAGGAGTAGAGCTATGAAAGCCGTGATGTTAAAAAAAATGTGAAAATTCTCATGAGTGTATTCTCGGCAGATTTAAGCGCTCCGTTCCTCAGCTTTCTTTTCATGCGAAATCGGGGGAAGTACTTGGCCGCAAGGGACGTGGGAGGGTCGTAAATGCAGGGTCGGTGAGCATTAAACAGCACAAAAGTGTCATTGCTAAGTTTGATGGAGCGAACGGAAAGCTGCAGATGACCCGGATGTAGGTAAGGCTACAAAATAATAACAACAGCTAGCATGAATTCGTCAGTGCTTAGATGACTAAATAATACGTCTCAAACAGATTCGTGCGTATTGTCCTTTCCAAACCCTAAACAAACATCTGCTTGCATGGACAAAAATCACCTAAAATCAGAAGTTACACCTTTCCACCATCTCTGCGTAGAAGCGTAGTGCACGGCGCACACTCGGACCAAATCCATCGATGATAACCGGGCTCTCATTTGAGCGGGAATATGTGTTTTGAAGGCATATTGGAGTTCTTGAATGAGTATCCTCATGATGGCACGGAAGGAGTCCAACTTTTGAGTGGCTCAGAGACTAGCGCGTTGGTAACCCATCTAAAATATCTCCTGAACTAGCGGGTCTTCAGGAAAACTGTAAAGCTTATTGGAAAGAGAAAAGATAGGGTGCTTTGAAGAGGGCTTTGGTCCTGATGAAATTGCGTTCGAAATAAGTAATCCTCGTGTGAAGCATAGAAACCCGCTTGCGATCTACCCCTGGCC